GGGACGGTCGTCCGACCCGTTTCCCACCGTGATCTTTACCTTGAGGGCCTCCAAGCCCGTGGTGCGGCTTTTCCGCTCCTGGTCCTTGAGGATGAGGAACGGCCGCCCGTATTCGTCAAAAGCTAAAGTCCCCATGGCCGACATGTTGGTCGATCCCCAGAAGGAAGGCGCACGAGGCCGCAACTAACGGCAAAGAAAGAAAGAGAGCCGCGCGGACCCGCCCCACCCGACGCAAGCTACTCTCTTCTCGCGGGATTTACCCACAGACAATAGAAGCGCATGCGCCTTGTCGTTCGCTTTGTGCTGCACCTCCAAGTCAGTGTTACCAACTACATTCTAGAAGCATCGGGGGGGTATATGAGAGCGCGCACGCGCACTAAAAGTACCGCCTCCCCTTCAGGCCATAGAGCTAGGAACCAATTAAGGGATGCACACGCTGCGTTCACTCATTGCATTATCCAGTGGTCATTTTAAAAAGCCAGTGGCTTCATGTACACATCCCACTAAGGCAATGTTTCTCAACCTCAGCAACTTTTAGATGTGTGGACTTCAACTCCCAGAATTCGCCAGCTTCTGGGAGTTGAAGTCCACACATCTAAAAGCTGCTGAAATTGAGAAACACTGCACCAAGACATCAGTCATGGCTTACCACTATAGATGCTAATGTGGACTTCTTTCTCAGGCACTGCCTTCACAGTCCAAGCCTGCCTCTCTCCACAGGTGGAAGATCCTTCAGCACAACTCTGTGCACGACTAGGTGTATGGATATCCATGAATGTGGGCTGTGTGGCTTCTGACAGCTCACCAAGCCAAATTGAGAAGTATACTGGTGTGGAGTCCGGATAATTTCATCAAGGACTGTGCATTTTTTTAGCGATTACTTTGGCCTCACTCGCTACTAATTTGCCTTCCCCAATGCACATTTCTGTAGTGCTCATCTAAATCACATACAGTAGTGTTAAACCGCAGTTAGAGTAAAATTCAGAGACTTAAACGACATTATGAATTTGAAAACTAGTCTTCATATTCTCCCCAGTGTAGAAGTAAACTGACCACAGAAAACAAGAGACGAATATAGGTTTTCAGAATTGCCTATAACAAGACTGCAGTATATTTTTCAGCTAACCAACTTTTTTTCACTTCTATGATTAACTGAGTTTTAAACAGTACAAACTGTATGGAGCTCAGAGGGATTTATTTTGTGCAATTTGAGCCAAATTGATGTTTTCTGCAATATCAGATGTAGCAATTCAAGGCACTTCACTCTCTGCAAGATGATGATGGGTTATAACACAAAACTGAGCAAATACAATGTTTTCAGCCACATTGTTTTCTGCTATCAGAAAAACATTACTGTAAGACCTTCACTAACATTAACTTGATGTTCAGAAACTAAAATAAACAGTATTTTTATTCAAAATGTGTTTTATTAAAATATTCCCTTTTGGTTACATTTTTTTTCAGGGAAAAGGGGGATAAGATACTGTTGCCAAGCACATATAAAGTCATAATTTCTCCATAGTTTACTAGCATTTCACTTTCACCCTGGGAAAGGATCATCAGAGAAGACTCTAAAATAATTAGGCATTTGTATTTCCAAACTTTATGAACTCTTCTGTTTTCTGCCTTCACACATTACACTGACACTTGGGCTTGTTACAAAACCTGCTAAATCACCAATTTACTGCATATTTACTGTCTGGGTTCATATAATGCACTAAACCTCAAACAAGCAAATCATACATTCGTGTAGCATCTCTTACACACAACTTTGAGATACATCCACATTTTCTCTCTATGTGCGAACTAGCCTTGGAGGTAAAATTCGGATTTTACTCCTTTCATACACTGGAATATACCAAGGAGACAACGTAATTCTTTTAAAAGCATAGCTTTTTTGGCTTTCTTTCATGAGAAGATGAAGTCAGAGAGAGCTTTAAAATTTTTAAAAAATCTTCGGTACCCTGTGTTTTCAATGCGGAACAAGAAAAGCGCTACTCTCGTGAAAAACACGAATCCCCTCATGAAAATAATGGTACAATCCACTTGAGCAGGAAGTAACTATTTCCCGTGGCTTCCGCTAAGTAGGAGCTGGCTTTCGGAGGGGGCGGGTCCTGCCTACGTCATTACGTTCCGAAAGGGTGGGGCGTAGAGCGAAAGGGAATTTTCAAGGTAGGGAGCAGTTTCATGCTTCTTTCTCGCTTCCGCGCGGCTGCCCTGGACGAATGATTAGAGTTGCGGATTAATAGCTAACGCTCTCCGTATTTTTCTCCGCACTGGTATTTTTTTCCCGATAAGGATACTATGCTATACATTCCGTAAACTAATGAGAACTTTCTGTTTTCTGTCACCAGTCCCTTGTCCATTCTCGCTTACTCTGGTGGAATTGATTACGTGCCATCAAGTGGGTGTCGATTCCTAGCGACCACATAGATAGTCTCCATCATGATCTGCCCCTAACCTGGTCCTTCAGCTCTTCCAACGGCGCCCCCGTCGCCACTGTAATTAAGTCTATATAAAATATTAAATATTGCAACATTTAACTGAAACAAACAAATCATTTGTAAGAGATAAATATATGTTCCGATCTATCTTTGCTGCTTGTAATCTAGAGGAAGCTGTTAAAATTGGAGATGTGGTTTTGTTTTACCCTTTTTCTTTTACCAACCTTGCTCTTAAAACGACATACAACTGACATCTTGAAACATCCTGGAAGAAGGGAACGGCCAAACACCTTCATTATATTGTCAAAAACAACAAGGACATGACTATTACTCAGCCAAAGTAGTTTAGATTTATAAAGGCTGCCCCACTCAGCAGGGACTTTGGGCAACTTGAGGGAAACTTTTCCTTTCCTTCTAATGTTCTTATTGGAAATGTGTTTTTCTATATATATTAAAACAACAATGGGGAATAATATATCATTTTTTTTAATTGCCCTGCCTTTCTTCCATATGATGTGAAAAATAGTTTGGTGCAAAGTAGCTTAGGCTGCCTCATCTCAGCTGCAATAATCTGGATGACTGCTCTTTTCTACCATCTGGTGATCACTGGGATTTTTGCAGCCCATATATGGTCAATTTAGACCAGTGTTTCCCAAAGTGTGGTCCCAGGACCCCTGGGGAACCCCCAAGACCCTCTCAGGGGTCTGCAAAATCAAAATTATTTGCCAGCCTATGTTGAAAAATAATGCAATATTAAAATCTCATCAACAATTGTGAGAAGCAGTAGTGGCAGCAAATGCATCAATTTAAAATTTTAATACGGTAAATATCAATAAATATAATCCATACAAACAAAAGCTCTTTTGGGGTCCTGAGAGAAAAAAGTTTAAGAAACGCTGGTCTAAACCAAGAGAATGAAGTTTTTTGGAATTGGAACTGACATTTAAAATCACTTTTTAATATGGGGAACAATGAATTTCAGTTGTTGATTACATTCATTCATATCTCTCATCTTTTTTCTCTGCCTGCCTTCTTTCTTTTTTGTCTCTGCCATTCTGTCATTCTGTATCTTTCTCCTACTCTTAAAGTGATGTTGTTTTTTTAGAAAAAAGTAAATGGCGATAAAGTTACTTAGGCTAAGTAACATAAAACTTGTCTTTATGCAGTGTTCAAATGTGCAAAATAATAACCAGTTGAGTCTGTCTACGAAGAGGATTTCATTGCTGGCTATGGGGTGTTTTTATCAAAACACTGGCACTGGGATAGCTGATAATAAGCATCCAACCATAGAGAATTAGAAGTTTCTGTCTCACAGATTTCCACCTATTCGTTTCATAATCTTCTTGATTAAACGTAGTTAGGGTTTTAAGGAAGACCCTAATGCAAGTTTCCCAGACTGGAGAGGAGCTCTGAGGAATTCTGTATGATAGACAGTGTACAGTAAGGGTTGGGAAACCTGGAGGCCCCAGCTTAATTGAAACCATTTTTGCAAGTAAACAATTCACATCTCTTGTAAAAAGTAATCTCTCCTTCCCTAGGAGTCTGCTTTGTGAGGGAAAGAAAGAAACAAGTCTAATGAAAAAATAAAAAGTTAGGGGGAAAAGGATGCCAGAGAAAATGAGAAAAAATGGTGGCATCACCTATTTCTAGTCCTACCCCTCACTAACATGACCTCCGACTGATTATTCCTATAAGAATGTGACCCTCAATAGGAAAAAAAGAGTTGCTCATCTGGTGTTTATTGCTAATGTAAACAACTACTGAGGGGCAAGTGGCAAAACATGCATTTTTGTGGACACAGACTCCACCCACTATGTAGTTGGATGCAGTGTCACAATGCAAGTACCCGCCGGGGGAGATGGGTGGCATACAAATTTAATAAATAAGTAAGTAAGTAAGTACAAAAGGGTGGAGCATGCATCTTGACAATATAATGCAGGTTTCATCATTTTGGTGGTATTGGGATTAGGAAAAGACACCTATGATTGTTAACATACAAATCCTATTGAACATAACTGCTGAAATCAACAAGCATGGGGGGTGCTGAATGCCACATAGATCAAGCATCCTTCTCTAAAAATTTCTGGATGAGTCTGAAGTAAGGCAAGTTTTAAAACATGGCCTAACAAACTGTTACTAGTTGCTCTTTCCCATATGGCTCAACATGATGTAGTACTTAATGAATGCTGCGCTTTCCCACATAACCAACGTGGCACAACATAGTTGCTGTAAAAAAGGCAGTCTATTATTAATTAATTAATTAATTAAATTTGTATGCAGCCCATCTCCCCCAGAGGGTGTATTGTTTTGTTTGGCTTACTTATAGGTGAGTATCACTGAAAACAGCAGAATTTAACTTTTGAATAAGTAAGCACCAAAAATTAATGGATCCTTAATGATTCTGCTAAATCATTCAGAAGGAAATTTTATGTCATTGGATACTTTTTGTTTTTCACTGAAAATGGCATTCATGTGTCTGATGTTGGAAAAGAGTAGATGCTGCAGGAGAGATGCAGATCCTATTCAGGTTGTATTATGTGTGTAAATTTACAGTACAGTGTACAGTTCAGATGAGAACAGAGTTCACTTTAGATAGCATGATTAGAGGCAATCTCATCAAGAAACAAAATCCTGAGTGAAATTGCTGTCTGCCAATTAGGAAGCAGAGGCATGAGTCAGGCAATGATAAATCAAGTATTGTATATTTTCATAAGAAAGATTTAACCACATATTTAAGTATAAAATATTATTATTTAAAAATGTGTAAATTACCTATGGCTTTACAAGAGGGATTATATTCAGTGGTAGATTTCTCCATTGGTCCTGATAGCTAAATGAATCCTTGTTCAAACCTCTGAATATCATTAGCTAAGGGACAAAGTGTTGGTGAGACATGTTACTTTATGCCCAAGAGTTGTGCCTAGATGCTGTGAGACACCAAGTAATGAAAATCCAAGTAAAGGTTTCCTTGTTTAAATCAGGGACGTAAACATATAAATACCATATATATTTTGGCAGGCTAAGCATAATACTTTTCCTTTTCTAGGTTTCTTGTTTGTTATGTCAAAAATACCTGCTGAAAGCAGCGTGGCTCCAGACATTAAGCCGTTGACCATTGCTGATGAAGACTCTAACAAAAGGAATTGGGGTATTTTGCTCCCCGGCATAGCTGGTGGGACATTAGTGGCCCTGTATTCTGTGGCCATTCCATTTATTGTTCCAGCACTGAGGAAGCATTGCCTGCCGTTTGTGCCTGCAACTTCAAAGCAGATTGAAAATGTCCTAATCATGTTGAAAGGCAGAAACGGAATCCTCGTTGACATAGGAAGTGGTGACGGACGCATTGTAAGCTTGAAGTAGTTTTGGGTTTAAGTAAATAGACTTCAGTCAAGTGCATGTTGACATATGGCCCTGTGTTAGCTACGTTCTTGTATCTTACTCAGGACAAGAATGGAATTTAAAATTACACACACCGATTAATGAAGCAACCTTCTATTGATACAAGCATCCATCTCAGCATTATTCAGAAAGTCTTTCTTAGACTAGCTTTTTAGAAGCCTTTAACTGGTGATGTTAACCATTGTTCTGGGGCTCTTAAGGCATGAAAGGAAAGTACTTTATCTCTCATTCATAAAATAGATTGATGGATAGATTCCTGGACTACAATACAAACCATAGATTCTGCTTTTATTTTTAAATCTGCTGCTGAATTGGGTGGCTGTGACTTTTCCTGCCCATTTGGGCTGCATCCTCTCCACCTCCCTTCCCTTCCCCATGTTTCCTATTCCATCATGCCTTGTAGTTACTGGGATTCCGTGTGCATTGTCATCCTAAAACAAAATAGGGAGAGGGAAAAACGGGAGCAAGACAGGGTAGAGCTACCTCATCTCCTAATTCGGTCTTACAACAAGAATAGATGATATCAAAAGAAGGAGCTGATTGGAGCTGTAACTTCTTCAGCCTTCTTGTGCTATTTCAGGCCTAAACTGCTGCTCTGGGTTATGACCTGGCAGTCCTCTTAGCCCTATGGTTTCAACCTATTGTTTTGGTCAATGCAGAAATATTCCGTACAAGAGATGAAGAGATGTTCATGCAGACAAGAGGGTAGGATGGCAGAGAGGGAATGGATTCCCTCATTCATTTTCTACCAGAGTACTCAATTTTCTGTGCGAGCCATTAGGGAAATCTCTTTCTTCATGGCCGCTGTGGAAACTCACTAGGCTGGTTGGCAGAGGAGTTACAAGGCTCTTTTATTTACAAGAAGCTTGTAAATCTGGATTTCCATCTTGGCCTTTGAATGGTTTTTTTTCCCCCAACCACTGCAGTCAGTAAGGAAAGTCAGAGTGTTAGCTTCTCAGTGGACTAATAATTTCTACAGATTTATTTACAAGGTTGCAGTAAGACTGCAAAGTGCAAAAAAACTCATACATTTATGATCAAGAAATTGGCAAATCAGGGCAAATTGCTAAGCCTATTTATCTGGCTGTCTCATACACACACACATACACACACCCACACACACATTTTCTAATAAGAAAACAGGTTTTTTAATCAAATACCTATTTATCTTTATGCAGGTAATAGCAGCTGCAAAAGTTGGATTTAAAGCTGTGGGTTATGAATTAAATCCTTGGTTAGTGTGGTATTCGAGATACCGTGCCTGGAGAGAGGGAGTTCATCAAGATGTCAATTTTTACATTTCAGACTTATGGAAGGTATGCAAATGTAACAAATGACCCAGGATGCAAATCAACAGTTGTCTAGTGGAAACAAATGTCTTACTCAGTATGGCTTTTAACAGGTTTAAAATGCTTTTTACGCCCATTAACATTTATGTGGAGTAACTCAGTGGAATTATTGGGCTATTTTTTAAAAAGCTGCTGTGGAAACCAGCAGTAAAATAGCAATTTTACTTCCCTTTCCCCATCCCTTTGATTCTGTCTTAAAGTCACTGTAGATATACTATTTACATAATTAGTTACAGTTATTTGCTCCATTAATAAATAAGGGAGAAGGATTTATTCCTTTTATCATTGCCCTCTCCACTCTGTATCCCCCACCAGGGGACTCTGTACCTGTCATCCGTATCTGGAGGAAAGATTTGTTTGATGCAAACGAAGGATTTTCTCTTGATATAAATGCCAAGTGCAGGAGGTTGTGCCTGAAAACACAGGGGAAACGGTTTCAACTCGCTTGACCTAACCACCAGTGTTTTAGTCTGACTGGCTTCCCTGCACGTGCATGTTCATGAACAAACACTGCATTTATATAGAGTTAATACTTAAATCCGATATTTTATTTCAAAACAGGTCAGTTTTTCACAGTATACAAATGTTGTCATTTTTGGAGTTCCTCAGATGGTAAGTTTCCATTATTTAACTAGTAGACTGTCTAATTGTGAGATAATAGAATCTTTGAGATTTTTATTAATAGGTTTGATAGAAAACTTTGTTCATCTTCACAAATACTGAACAGTGGAATTGTTCAGTATTTATAATATATATACACACGCTATATATTATTATATATTACACTATATATTATTAAAGAGTACAATTTACAACAATAAAAACTAATACAAACTAAAAAAAAGAAAAGAATAAAAAGAAAAAAGAGAAGGTGCAGAAAAAGGAGAAAAAATAGAAAAGAAAGAATAATAAAGGAAAAGAAATATATAAGGAAGTGATTTCCCCCTTTATCACAACAAGTATAAACAATTTTAATAACTTATCACCTTCTCTTAAAATATAACAAATGATTTCTTCATCCATAACCCATCTCTTATCTATAAACAAATCCATAAAGCAGTGTCATTTCAGCCCTGATGTCAGCTAAAGTCCATTAAGGGTTACCAGAAATAACATATCTATTTTAACCTTGATCAAATAAACCAACTTTATATTCCTTCCTTTTACTTTTAACAATCTTGATCTTTAGTGCCTTCAAATAATGTCCTAGAACTTGATTTCTTTTCATTTTTTCTTTGCCTCTTCTCACAAAATTCTTCAAAGCTTTAACAAACCTCTTTTGTAAATCCAATATAGGAAAATTATCCAGGTC